AATTCGTTATAATAGATTTACTACATTAAAAATAGTTTGTTCATTTTATATGTTCGTTTCATTTGCCCCCCTCCCCCCTCTCTTCCGAGAGTCCTGGAAAGTGATGCTAACTGAAAAATTAACTTCAAACGGCCTAAACGCGATAGGAGAAAGACAAGAATGCTGATGCATCAGTTGATTCAAACACTACGCAAAGGGTTACTTGATGTAAATCTAGAAATTTATCATATTCTTTAAAGAACATCTCATTCAATTGTCAAAAAAGGGTCGGAAGCTTGATTCAGAATAAGCCGTTGCTACGATTGTCGGTAAAATCGAAGCTTATGAGACAGAAGAAAGATGCCGATGCATCAGTTGATACGAACATTACGCCAGGGGTTACTCGACGTAAATCTCATGCTTTATTAAAGAACAATTTTATTCAGGCGCTAAAAAGGGCGGAAGCCTGATGTGATCGTAGATTTAGGAGATGATCATCTTCGGCAAACGTTGAGGTTGTCAAAGAAAGGCAAAAAGCATAAATATACGAAATAATTAAAATTAGTAAGGGATCTCATATCTTATAGTTTATTCTTGGCATATTTGAAAAACATAGTGAAAAGATATCATTAAACATAATGTCTTGACCATATTGAAGATTTGATCGATGAAACAAATGAGTACGTATTAATACTTAATTTTTAAAGGGCCATTATTTTTTTTTTTGAACCAGAGTATTAGGAAGAAACGTCCTTATTGTGAACAAATTGGGCATCCCATTTCGATGAATATAAAGCTCGGAGCGGTTTAAGAATGACATATGCTTAATATTTGATAATACTAAGACTTTTAATGTCAAAAGGATGCCGATACAGAAATGATGCAGGTAGGATTCTAATATGTATTTATAATAGATTATAGTTGCATTATTTCATCCTAATCCTACATATTTCTGTATGTAAGGAAATCGAAGTTTGGACAAATAATACAAAATTAAAGCTGTGGGGAACAAAATATAAATGTAAAACACTGGAATCGTGCAGTAGGGATTTAAACCATCTTTAAAAACATGGTTTTTTGGTTTAAAACATTTGACTTAATCTGTATTATCGTAAAATTAAGCCGCAATTCAATATGATTATAAGATTAATTTGTTTAGCGTTAGTAAATTTGAAATTAACAGTTTTGCATCTTAAATTAAATATGAAAGAATTCTTTTCCATTCGAATGTTTTCTCGAAATGATATTATGGAACTTTTCCGGTACAGAAATTTACCAATCAGGAACAATTATTTCAGTCAAACAATGCACAAACACGTAAAAGTTTGGTTACAAATAGTCCTGATCTCGGTATTATAGTGAACTCCGAATGAGCAGTCGAGGATTTTTGAAAGAATCTCACGTCTCTGTTCAAACAAAAAAACCTTCACGCTTTTATTAATAGTAGTCAATCTGAAATCGTTACATATAGATATATTTACATAGAGGATACAAGTTACTCACGGTATAGTACTGGCGAAGAAAATTAGAATCAGGGCAACATAAAGATGGTCTAAATAAAATTTCACAGTATAATGAGTTTATTAATGTATTCTTAATTAGAGTCAAGTAAACACCGCAAAGAGTAATAAAAAGCGGGTAAGTGTGGGATGCTCAATTTGTTCACAATAAGGACGTTTCTTCCTAATACTCTGGTTCAAAAAAAAAAAAATAATGGCCCTTTAAAAATTAAGTATTGATACGTACTCATTTGTTTCATCGATCAAATCTTCAATATGGTCAAAAGACATTACGTTTAATGGTATCTTTTCATTATAAAAATATATAGCTTATATCAAATATGCCAAGAACAAACTATTTTAAAAATATAAGGTCCCTTACTAATTTTAATGTATCGGCATTCTTGTCTTTTTCCTATCGCGTTTAAGTGTTATTCTCTTTATAACTTCTGAAATAGATAGTGTCGTTTCTTTATGACTTCTAGTTTAAGCAGCGAATGACCATTTATAAAATTTTTTTTAATATATGATATTTAAATACATCGAAATTATTATAAAAAAATCGACACATACAGGATATAATGTTTTAGTCGAAATTGATGTCTGGATATTGCTAATATGGTTTGTTTTTTTTTTCCACCCACTTTCCACCCTTGTAATACATTGTTAAATTTATTATTTCTAAAAATTTTCTAGAAACTTTCTAGCACTATTATTATTATTTATTTACATTTTTTTTTTTAACGTTTAATATCTCACGTTTAAAAAATCTCAAAAAAGAGATTCTTTTATATTGTTCTTCTCCTCTTCAGAAAGATTATTGTCAAAAGCAACTTTCTTTAAAGCCTCGATGATGGAATCCTTCTCCCTAATAATTTCCTCAAGCTTTTTGATTCTTCTTTCCGTTGAAATCGTTTCGACGTCTTTGATTATATTTGAAAGCTCATTTTCATTGGATATAAAAACTCTACTTTGTTTTCTAACTACTTCAACTACCTGATTCGAAAACGGAGAGCTACATACTAAAAACCCGTGAACCTCCCTTGGTCTTTCCTCCATCTCTTTTAGAAAAGTTTTGACATGTACTGGAAAAACTAAGACCTGATTTTCTAATATTAAGCACTTTACCATAAAGTCTAACGACTTATACTTTCCAACTATTAAATTTTTATAAATGAAAATATCCTTAATTTCATTTTCTTGTAAAAGCTTTTTCATAAAAATCATATAGACAAATTGTTTATCCTCAAGCGACAACTAAATCATATTTAGATAAAAAAAGATAAAAAAAACGTTAGTATTAAAGATATAATCATTACAACCGCGGATTCACCTTTCACTCTTTCGTCCCATACGTCATGAACAGCCCGTAGATCATCCTAATTGAGCAGCGTAATACAGGAGCGCGGTACGCTATATAACCCATACTAAGCAAGCCTCTGCAGAGAACTTACCATGTCATATTGGCCAGTAAGACTGAATATTGAATACTTTATGGGCGAAGGATTCAAGCACTTGCAAGAAACAAAAATCGAAAAGAAATATTAAAAGTTGAATTTATATAACACGCTAAAGAACCACGTCAAGCAAGCCTCAGATTTATTATCGACTTTCATAATAAGAGTGGAATGCAAAAAGGCGATATACAAGAAAAAAGTTATAGAATGATATGACTCTATTTAAGTGATAAAATTTCTGATTGACCAACTAGAATGCAATACTGCAATATCTGATATCATCGATAATCATTTTCAGGTGGAACCATGCCAAATAAAGAAATTTATCAGTAAAATTTTATCAGATCATAGGCAGACATTCGTATGATTGGCTGTTTAAATCATTTAATTTATATTATTTATACAGTTTAAAGTACTTTTTAATAAAAAAAAAAACGAATAAACAAAAAAGAAGGAGTATATAGTAAACCAGTATAGTATAACTTATCAGATAAGTATGGTATAGTAGATATACAATATGTATAGTTTTTTAAGTTTAAATTATACGGTACGTAGTATTTTTTTTAGAATTTATTTACATAATGTATAGTTTTAATACATAGTATTATACATTAAGTATAATTAAATTTTATTTTTACACTATTTAGTAATTATAAGCAAATTTGTCTAGCAATCAAAACTTCGAACCTAATTTTTTGAACTAATTTAATATCGATTTTGTATTGGCACTCTAATCAGAGATGTTCATTCACTATCGTATCGATTATGCGATTATTCAGATCACAGCTCAAATCAATTTAATTTATTAATGTATTTTAATATAATGAGGTAATTAATTAATGAGAAAATGAGGCAATACGTACAAAGGACTGTAGTTATTTACCAATTTGGAAACAATTTACTGTATTTGTATTAATGAATAATTGAAATTTTGATTGTTAGTTCAAACTAGTATTTGGGCTAATTAGAAAAAGGTATTATCTAGCTTGGTTTATAGAGCTTCGCATTTGAACTCTAAGTTATGCGAATATTCAATTAAAATACTTTTACTTTATTTAAATAATGCAATATACTAAATTTTAGGTATTTATTCATGATGACAAAGTCATATCTAAAGTTACTATCTATCTGAAGTTGCAACTTTAGA